GTGTGTGTGTGTGTGTGTGTGTGTGTGTGTGTGTGTGTGTGTGTGTGAGTGTTGTCCATCTATACCTTGGTGAGGTTATATTTGTGAAGTAGAAGAAGGAACGAACACATCCAGCTTTTTCTATAGTTTATTTTTTCCTTATTGATTAATCTGCTTGTTAATGAATGAATGAATAAATGAATGAATTAATGACTTGTTTGGTCTGTAAAGCTGAAGTTGACGTCTTGAAACATCTTATTTAATTTGACCAACGGCCCAAAATCCAAATAGAACAACAAACGTTATTATTTAATAAACGATGAATCAATGAATCTTTTGAAGTCTCTGAACTCGTGTGAAACAGGAAGTAGAGAAGCTCTCTTCCTCTCTCTGATTGGATCAATAAGTGATCATCAGGGCTGAGACTAACTCTTCATCTTCAGCTTCATCGATCAGAGGAACCGTCCACCGGAACAACTCGCCTGTGTTTCATGTCTGTGAGAGTCCTCACAAGTATAGCAATACAGAGCCGGCTGAGTGACGCACGGATCAATAAAGGAGGATTTCCTTTAGTCCTGAACCAGCCTGGTCCGTCTCAGATGAGCGTTCAGGTCTCAGTCCTGTCAGAGTCACTGAACGCTGTTTATCACAGACACACACACACAGACACACACTCTCTCTCTCACACACACACACACACACACACACACACACACACACACACACACACACACACACCGATGAGATGTTCACATCTGTGCAGGAAGAATTTATAGTTGTTGACAATGAAGTGAAATATTTCATGGAAATACAAGTACACCTTTGTCCTTTATTTATATATGTATATTTACATATTTTACATAAATATTTATTTATTTATATATATATATTTTTTTTTTTATCTATATATTTATATATATTTTTGTATTATATATATATATATATATATATATATATACAGTTTATATACTGTATATATTTATTCATTTGGGAGATCACGCTCATTGCCTCCACATTAAAAATGGCCGTGCCTTTACTCCTTCTGTTCTTACCCTTTCACAATAAAAGCCCCAGACGGAGAACCTTATATTCACTCGGATCATTACATTTATAAGAGGCACAGATGTGGATGTGTCTCGTTCTGATGACGTAATGAGCGGTGAAGGATCCGAGTCCTTTAATGTGGGACAATGAAGTGAACGTTGGGTTTATTAATGGAGACGTCTGTTCGTTGGACTCTTCTTCCATCTCTGAGGAAACCTGAGAAACAGTCAGTTAGTTTCCTACGTCTTGTTTTCTCTCTTTGAATCATGGCTGTGAGCAGCAGATTGAGTTTTCCTCTCCTGTCTCCTTTCCTTGGTGGATCAAGGCCTCCTGACACCCCCCCACACCCCCATCGACCGCTGCCTCCTCGTGTTCAGACCGGTGGAAGAATCGGTCTGGGACACATCAGCCTGTGACCCGAACCTGATCCAACCATCCACACATCCATCGCCTCCGGATCAGCACACCTGAGGTGTGTGTGTGTGTGTGTGTGTGTGTGTGTGTGTGTGTGTGTGTTGAACATCACACTGATCTCTGATCTTCATTTTCTATCTATCTAAATTCTAAATTCAGTTTTCTCCTGTGTTAAAGCTGCATTCTCTCTACTGTCCACCAGGGGGCGACTCCT